CATATGTTGAGAGCATCCACTATCCAGGTACCACATGCTCTCACGAGGCCTTTTGTGAGGGCTTGCCTACAAAATTATCAAATGTCATATTTAGGAACCCAAACATATTTGGGTTCCTTCTTATGGAAAGTAGAATGCAATATATGCTGTGAATCATGTAACTTGGGTCTCTAGACCCAATGTGAACTATGGTGAATGGTGCAAGTGTGTGTTATATGTCCTAGCATGCCACATAAAAAATATCTAACTCTAGGAAAATGATGCACTAATTTACTTCTATGGTGATGCTTCCTTTTAAAGTTTGGAAAATCATGTAATTATTTATTTTCAAAAAATTTGAGATTTGTTAATTCTTTTTCTAACTCAGCATGAGATATTTTTAAAGAATCATGTGCATTGGTTAATTCAGTGTGCTTTTTATTTAATGTATCAAATTCATCAAGTAAAGTCATGTGATTGCTATCAATTTGGGAGTGATCTTTAAAAGATTTTCATGTTTCTTTTGTAAATTTAAAAATTCCACTTTCAGACTGGTATGAGAATTTTTGAGTTTTTATATGATGCATGCATGTGCTCACAAATTTATAATAACTGATCATAAGTTGGTTCACAAACCTTTTCTTGGTCACTTTAACCAAGATTATTGTCTACCATTAAGCACAAGTTTGTTGTCTCCTCTTTAGGTTCAGTCTCAGAGGAGTCTGATGCAGAATTCGCCCAGAATGCCTTTTAGAATCTCTTCTTATCCTTCTTGGACTTGGGTTTCTCCTCACCTTTTTCCTTGCTTGGAGAGACTTGAGTGTAGGGCAATCGGCTTTAACATGTCCTGACTTCTTGCATTCAAAACAAATTATATCATTAAAATTCTTGAAATTTTTGTTACCCTTACCTTTATTTCACATTTGATGATTCTTGTGCTTCTTCCTTAGAAAGATCTTAAATTGCCTCGTGATTAAGGCAACATCATCGCTTTTAGACACGGAGGAGTCAGTGTCCGAGCATTCTCCTTAAGTGCTACCGTTTTCTCCTTCTTCCTCTCACCTGCATCAAGATTTCTTTGGATCACCCCTTGCTCGTAAGCAATGAGTGAACCAAGTAAATTATCAATTGAATAGGTATTTAAATCTTCAGATTCAAAAATTATAGTGATTTTAGCATCAAAAGAGGAAGGCAAACATCTTAAAATTTTGTTCACTTTTTTATAGTTAGTAAGTTCTCTTCCTAATGTATGCAATGAAGTAACAATCTGAGTAAATCTCGTATACATTTCAGAAACTATTTTATTAGGTTTCATACAAAAAAGTTCGTAATCATGCAATAAAATATTCAAACGAGATTGCTTAACTTCTTTGGTTCCTTCATAAGTAATACACAATTTATCCAGATCTCTTTACCAGTTGTGCAAGTTGAAACATGCATATAATCTTTGGATTTTAAAGCACAGAAAAATAGTTTAAACACTTTGCATTAAGCTGTGTTAAATCCCTATCATCTTGAGTCCAATCAGTATAAGAGGAACAATAACGTCATTAAGTTTACTAGTTGGAGGTGTATAACTGTCCTTAACAAGAATCCACATGCGATAGTCAATTGATTGTAAAAACGTAGAAATGCAATTTTTCCAAAAATCAAAAGGAATATTATCAAACAAAGGCGGTCTGGTAATAGAATATCCTTCCGCAGTATTAAAATTTTCGTTGTTATCCATGGATCAAAATTCAAAAAGTTTTTAAACTTAGCTTTTAGGAATCCCGCTCTGATACCACTTGAAAGTTTATTGGGATGTTAAGCCCTTAAGAACTAGCCCGAGGCTAACCAAGAGGTGGGGGTGAATTGGTAATTTAAAAATTTTTGTAAGCAAAGAACAAAACTTAAAACCAAACCAATATCACCATAAAGAAATCAACGTGCGAAAAAATAAATGTGGAAATAAAACAAATAAGGATCACACCAGATTTATAGCGGTTCGATCAAACCTTGACATATGTCCACTCCTCAGAGGCACCCTCCGAGTATTGCACTAACTAAGTGTCTCTCCTTTAGCTCCTATAGTTAGGCGGATAAGCCTTTACAACAAACTCTTTTTCACCAACCCCGGTGTGGTAGAGAACCGACTCCTTTTGCTTCCTCCTGAAGCGAGCAAAAAATCCAGACTGTTTGCTAAAGTAGACCTCCCAATAATTTCCCAAGGACGAAGGATGAAGAATGGATAAGACGACAAGGATCCTTGCTTGGAACAACCTTTGTGAACCCTCTCACAAACTCCCCCTCATAGGTTCCTCTCTCTCTCTCTCTATCTCTATCTCTCTCTCTCTCTCTCTCTCTCTCTCTCTCCCTCTCCTTAGACTGTCCATGTCAAGACAGCAGCACTCCAGGTCTTGCAAAGTGAAGAACAAGTGATCTTAAATAAAAGAGCTTCAGAATAGCTCTTATTTCATACAAACTGACTTTATCGTCAAGGCCAATAGGGGTATCGGCCTGGCCGATCAGCATAAATTTTGCTCAATCAGCCTGGTCGGTTTGGGATGATTAGAGTAATTTTGGTTACATCGTCCTGGCCGATATGATATCGTCCTAGTCAATTAGTTCAAATCCTAGCCAAATCGTCCTGGACATCGCCCTGAATTGAAGTAGGCCGATGTCAATCGTCTACGCCATCATCCCGGCCGATCCTGCGATCGGCCCAGGCGATGTGATCGTGCAATCAGCCTTGATTGCTTTCCATAATTACCAGATTATTTTAGGCATAATTGTGCTGTATCGTCCAGGACGATAGGATATCGTCCTGGATGATGTCATAAAATAAAGAATGCCTAAATAGATCATGGCAGCTGATTCTTTCTGATTTGAACCTATCATCCCGGCTGATACAATATCGTCCAGGCCTATCGGCTTAATGACGACTGCCTTAACCAGGATGCCCTAATCAGGGTTTTTATTTTTGACGGCTCGTCCGGGATGACATTTGGATCGTCCTGGACGTTGTACTCAAAACAGAGAACTCTAAGTTTCTACAAAAAAAATTCACTCAGGTGTGTGTGTAAGGTTACTTAGCATCTGACACCATAAGGATTACATTTGACTCAAGAAAGGGAAAAATTACATTACAGACTGAATCAGACTTAATCTACCCAATCTTGAGCTGGTTCAACTTGCAGTCTCGATCTTGTGGTCCTGAAACATTAGTAGAAAAGGCAGTCGAAGTAAAACAGAAGTGTTTGCAATCATCAAAATTCTGTTTCTAAAAAATAGACATGCAACATCTTGATCGAGTCCATCATCCATTCCCCCACCGTCCGCTTTAAGTGCAAGATGGTGAAAATTTCTAATTTTAAATATAAAGACTACAAACCTTCAAATCTTCAAATCCTCCAAATTCCGAAAATTCTCCAACTATATCCAAAGCCCATTGCTGCTACTATATGCCAGATAACACGTATCTCTATGTATCTGATTGACGACTAGCCTTAATCGAAAGTTTTATCTCGTTATCAGGAGGGGTAATTAGCTATAGGGGCTTGCGCAGGAAACTAGAACTAAGATCATAAAGTCCTCAACAAATGAGGGCGAAATCTCTGGGTAGTGTCTTATCTACAATCCATCTACCTTCCAAAATTTACCCATGAACTTAAATTCCGTTAAAACTCCCAAGCCGAAAAGAAAAGAAAAAATGCGGGCGGAGGACAGGGCCGAATTTTCGGAGCCAACAATGACTATATTTAATTTTGGAAGTTTCCAATCAGAACTTGCCTCAAATTTCGTGCCCAATCAAAAATTCTTTTCTATGATATATAAGTATATATATTATTTTGAAAACATGTCCGATATGTAAATATTAAATGAACAGTAATGTTTGTATGTTTTTCGCTTATATTGAATCCTGCGAGTTTTTATTAATATTTAAAAGATAAAAAATAATTATAATTCATTCGATTTAGATTATGAGGTGTTACAATCTTTACCTTTTCTTCAGGCATCTCAATTAATTAATTATAAACTTAAATCTTGGTGAGCATCATCTTATACACTTCCAACACTTGATTTCTGCATTTATTTAGTTCCTTAATTTAAATACAATGGTTGAAATATTAAGAAAAGTATTTATATATGACTAGATTAATAATGCAGCAAACGAAGCTATAGTAGCTGTTTCTCCAAGTGTTAGCTGTCTTTGAAAGTTAAAAATATGCGGAGGTTTGTGGTATAGCAAAAAAGAATCAGACCATGGATGCCAAGTTATCAGCAAAGCAAAGGAAAAAGTGTAGCAGAAAAATATCGCTCTTTGTTTCATCCTCGTTATTGTAAAGCAAACAATGTAAGAAGAACTCCAGTCTTAAGGTCATCTCTAATGTCAAAGCACATATATTTGAGAATGTTAGAACATAACATTTTTGTCAGATGAATTTACCATCAGAAACAATCGAAACCACATCTTGATTAATTATTATGATACTTATAATGTCCCAAAGCTAGCCATAAAAAACGAAAAACAAATTTCGCCATTGGCAACAATGATGACAAAGGGTATAATTGTTTTTTCACCCGTTGATAAAAATACCGATAAAATTCAAAATCTGTTAAATCGGTTTAAACGTGTAAGTTACAAGGTGGTAGAATTAGAGAGGCGTAAAGCACTACTAGATTTCAGCCTGTAGGAGGAATTTGAAGAAATTCCATGAAATAACGTGGTTTCTTAAATTCAATTATTCCATAATAAAAAAATATAGCATAATCTTGTAAAACAGTTACACCGTTATATAATCTTCTGGTAAAATCGAGCTGATCATGGCTGCAACCCCAAACAAAGAAACCACATTTGAGTTGCTTTCAATCAACCTTGTATCAAAAGAACTATACCATGCTTGCCTTGCACCCCTCGCCATTCCCCTTCCCCTCTCCTTCCACTTCCGCTTCCCCTTCCCTCAATTAAAGCACCTTCTCCTGGTAAACAAAACCTATTACATCCGCACCCAAAACTTAACTGATCGATGGATTGATCATCCATGGAATCCGTCAGCTCCAATGACTCGCCGTCCCCTTTCTCTTCCCCTCGCCTAACAATCAACCCCCGCATTTCCCGTGCTCTATACCACCCTCTTCTCCTCCTCCATCGCTCTGGCCAAATATTCCACATCCTCGGCTCTACCTCCAATGTCTACACAGTCACTCTCTCCCAAACCCCAACTTGTTCCTGCCCTGACCCCACCATCCCATGCAAGCACATACTCTTTATCATCCTCCGCGTCCTACGCCTCCCCGTCTTTTACCCATCACTCCTCCGCCGCTCCCTCCCACCCTCTCTTCTTTCTCGCCTTCTTTCCTCACCCACGAACCGTGATTCCCTCGCCAACCCCCGCGTTCTCCACCGCTTCCGCCAACTATTCTTCTTAACAACCGCTACCACATCAAGAGAAGGGGAGGAGAACAGATCACTAGGATTGTGTCCAATATGTTTGGAGGAGATGGAAGTTGAGATTGAAGGAAGAGTGCTGAGGTGTGGGGTTTGTGGGAATGGCTTGCATAAAGAGTGTTGGGGGAGGTGGAAAAGTATTAGGGGTAAGAGAGGGGCAAGCTGTGTGATTTGTAGGGCGAGGTGGACGAGGAGGAGGGTGGTGGATAGGTATTTAAATTTGGCAGAAGTTGCCCGGGAGGAAGAGGTGGTCGCAATGAATGGTAGTGATGGGAGTAGCATTTGCGGCGAAGTTCCTCCTGGGTGATTGATATAGGCTCCATTAAATTTGTTTTTCAAGATGACCGATTGGGGCTGCATTACATTTGTCTTTACTATTTGATGGATTGATGTGGGTTTATTGTAAGTAATGTTCAAGTTCGTGGTTTATTATTTGTTGTAATTTAGCTATAAGCTTGTTCTCATTATATTTTATGCAATTACATAGAATATATAAGTTGTGCATATTTTTTAAGAGTAACGATTTCAATTCAAAAATAAGAATTATGAAATTGATTGGGCTGATTTAACTTTTGACCTAAATAACTCAAATGTCATTCAAATCAATTCGAAATATGATTTGAAATATATGCATAAAATATGTTGTCTATGACTAATAAGATAAATATATGTTAAATATGGGTTCTTCTAAGTGCAACACCAAATAAAATTGAGCCAATAAATTCTTTACCTCATTATATAAATGTACTGTGATACGTTCTTAATATTATCTATATATTTTCACTTCTATTTAAGAATAGTGTCTGTTGCGATTAAAAATTTGAGATATTTTGATAATCATAATTAGGAAATGATATTTTATACGCATAATTAATGAATTAAAACAAGCATAAGATACAAAATTATTATATAAAAAATTTTAAAAGATAAAGATCATAATTTCCAATTCAATTCAAATAAATTTATTATTTGTTAAATATGTAAGTTATAAACGTCAATCTTAGTCTAAAATTATGCATTAATATAAAGCTAGTGATTGCAACTTATCAGAACTATCTGTAATGGTTTCGTGTGAAAAGGTTGACAAGGAAAATGAAGTTGACTATATTAATTTTCTTCTTAGAAGACAAGGTTCCATGACCATTGGGGCCGCATTAGAAATGCATTTGGGCCACTAAGACTTGTCTGGTTGGCCTACCTGGCCTCCTCGATGTGAAAAATGCACCATCTTAAGATATCATAAGAAGCAATATGTGAATGTCGTTGATATGCCTTTAGCAATGATGATATTCGTTTATTTCATAGGTAAAGGCTAGTTAACAAACAAGTGGTGGTGAGATGACGCAAGGTCATGAAGGGCAATACAGATTGTACAATTTATCATTTCTTAGAGAGAAAGGAGGTGAATGTTAGCCCCACAAGCCTTGGTGTTAGACCCAATGATTTTTAATGATAAAAAATGCATGTTTGATGTATCTAATGTCTTCATTTTTATATTTCAGGTCTTCATAGGTGATTGAGTTAAATCATGAAAGAAGCTTCAAAAGCTTGTATGAAGATGGGGTTTGGGTTATTAATAGATGTGTAAACACCTACAATGACTTAATGACAATAAATGTGCTCATAAATAAAATGATTTTTTGCCTAAGTCATTCGAATTGTCATGCAATAATAAATTTATTTTTACCTTGATTTTAAACTATCTTCCTTCAAGGCAATATACACTCTTTCTTGCTAACTTTGTACTTTACATTCTATTTATGATAATTGTTATGATTGATGTTTAACTTCATTACACTTAAAGCTTTATACTCAAGCATGCTTCATGTTGTACAATTCAAAAATCATACCTTGTAAAATAAAAAAAAGTATATATATATATATAACTCACTTTCCATATATATATCTCATTGGCTAATGTCATATAATATATTAATTAATTATCTTAGTACATATTTACCCAGTTACCCTTCCTTCTTCCCTTTGATTGGTTGAATTCTTCATGGCGGGAGTGGATTAGGAAACTAGCTAATGCATGTGGCTGTCCCC